CAAATATTTTTGGTCTGGTTGTGCAAATCTTCCATTTACTGTGGACTTGCATGAGTTAATTTTTTGGTTTCTGTGTGGACTTGCATGAGTTAATTCTTTGGTTTCCTAATATGTAAAATGAGAACAAATCTCCAGAACTGGTAAGAGGATTAAAAGGTAAAAATAGCTCATCTTTATGTAGTAAATGTGATGAGTACTTAATGTTTAAAATAAGAATCTGTAATTCTTTGAATATGTTGTACATGCTTTATGCTTTTTGAATAGATTATTTTTTGATCATTTCCTGTTTATGAATTACGGTGTTCATAAATTATAAACCATAGAAGGAGATTTGAAATAAGAGTAAGGAGGCCTGACATTTCTTTTGTGGTCTGTTATGAGCTATTTAACCTTGAACATATTACTCAGTATCTTGGTAACCAGTTTTCTTATTTGTGAATTGGAATATTAGTGTCCTTTTCATAGACCATAAGTGTTCTATTAAGAAGGCAATTAGATATGAAGAGGCTCATAAAAAGTGTTCTGCACATTTAAGGTAATAAGTTTTTCTAGCTTATTTCCATTGAAACATTTTAATAGTCCTTTTGTATATTAATGTTTTATGCTAACATTCCTACTTTTTTTGGACTTGGTGAATTTGGATGGTATTATCTAACATATAATAGTTAAGTCCATGCCATTTTTTTGTTGAAGGACTAAAAAAGTTTTAAGGACAAGTAGATGTGATGATGCTGCTGCTGTCACACTCATCGGTTTCAGATCTATTTCTGGGCTACCTTTAATCTCCTAATTCTACTTCTAGTAATTTGCTCTAAGGAATGGTACCAAGATAGTGTATGCATTTCGTTATAACAGTATTCTTTGAAGCATTGTTGATGGTGCTGAGCGGGAATTATTCTAAATGTTCTAGCAGTAGAGTGAGACACATCTGCACAGTGAAATATGTACTCTGTAGCTGTTAAAATAGGTTTACTATTAATAATATGAAAGAGTGCTGACATTATACATGACAGAAAAAATAGGAAGTTCAAGTACGGTATGTACAGTCTGATTCCATGCTTATAAATAGTTAACGTGCATGTTAATAAAACAACCCTTCAGTGCACTTTGATCTGGCTTCCCCCTGGCAGGTCCTCTTCTTACTTCTCCCATTGCCACTCTATTTGACGAGGTCTTCCTAGTGCTTTCTTATCTGCTCCCTGGTTTTCTGTTCACTCTTCTCATCCTCTGTTTTGGATTCCCCCCTCCTCTCTGCACCAATATTGATATTCCTGGTTGGGTCCCTGGACTTCTTCTCATTCCATTCCATATTCATAAGGGACTGCCTTGAGGTTTCTCTCCCATTAAACTTCCTCTTATACCCTCCACCATATATCTGCAGCTGGCTCTTCACTCAGCTGGCCCAGTATTCTCAAGGCCCTTAGACTAGGATGTCCAGAAGGAAGCCCACAGCCTCCCCTTGAGGACCCTCGGAGTCATCCTGGTTTTCTGTCCTGCCTCCTTGCCTCTGTGTGTGGTGGTCTTCTTCCCTAATGTGCATGCCTGTGTCATGTCTCTTCTTCCCAGATGCTCGTTGCTGGCTGCTCTTTTACATGAGTTTCTGGAGTATTTTTCCTGCCTCTAGGTTTAACGCCTTCCCTATTTACTTCACGTTGTGGCCAGAATCATCATTCAAAAGTGTATATATGCCAGGGAGACACCACCCCATGACCTGTGGCTCACAGCTCTGGCTGTCAGTGGTCTAGGCCTGTTCCTCGCCTTCCTGGCCCTGGCCCCTACCTTCCTGACCCTCTGAGACTCTGTGCAGCCAGTGGGACTGTGGCGGGAATGAAGGACTGATGAGGGAGGGGCTCCCACTTCCTTACCAGAGAGGGGCATCCTCACTCTGTGTCTGGGCACATGCGGTCCCTCGGAGACAGGAAGTCTGGTGGGCAGGTGGTTTTGACCAAGGCTCACCAGGCCTGTTTTCTCATTTCCTTACTTCCTGGTTGAAGCCTCTTTTAAGGACATTTCCAGAGCTGCCTTCCTCAATTCCTTCTTTGTTTCTGAGCTTCCCCTGTAGCAGGTGACTAGATAGTCTCTCCTGTGGCCAGGCACATGTCTGTCTGGGCAGTGGGTGGCTTAGGCTCAGGCTGAGTGCTCTGCTGGGTTTCACCTCAAGTCGAGCTGGGGATTTGCTTCCTCTCTCTCGAGGTGGACCAGTGCTCACATTCTCACTTGCTACTCCATCTGATTTTCAGTGCCTGTGTGTGTACTTTCTTGTCTCTGGTGCTAATGAAAGTGTCCTGTATTGCACATAGGACAGAGTCGGTCCTCTTGTTTGTGCAAAGAACATGACAGGATGATTCTGAGAGCTTGGCTGCCCAGCATGCCCTGAGCCAGCTGCACTTGAGATTTGGGTGTTTGACTCTGGCTCTTTGCTCTGTGGGGTGTAAGGAGGAGCCCTACCAGCCCCACGGTTTCCTGTGGGTGCTCGTTACAGGCTGCCTGATGCAAAACTGCAGATTATTGAGAGGTGTTATTTTCTTGACCACTTTGGTTCTTTGCTTTTGACCAAGTGTTTAAGAATACTCTGCAACACATCAATAGTATTCACAAGCAGTGAATCAGGAGAAGAAATGTAGTTTGAGAAAGCTTCAAAGAAATACCGACTTTATCTCTTCCCCAGCCTTTTCCGCTGAAACCCACCAGTCTTTTTCTGAGCACTCGTTCTATAAATAGAACAGCAGCTCTCCTTGGGTAGCCCACGATCAGTTCTCATCCGCTCTCTGAAAGATGTGTGTGTGTGTGTGTGTGTGTGTGTTGGATGATGTTTTAATTTTGCTTTTCTTATGTGTGATATGTGTAGCAGGAGATGCAAGAAAAAATACTCAAGTGTTTATCCTTTAAAAATAACTCAGAACTTTTCTGGGTCTGTGCTTATTTTTTATTTTTTAAATTTGCACTTAAGAGATGGAAAAGATTCCTTTCCCTGCAAAGGTAAGGAAAACTCGTGGGTGAAGAGAAGTGCTTGCACCTCTAAGCAAGTCCTGTGGGGTCAAGAGGAAAGGCTCTCCTGCTGTGGGATGCAGGCGTCTGAGGTTCTGTGCTACTGTACACACTAGCTGGTCTGTGTCTTTGAAGAGAACATTGAAAAGAGCATCACCATGTAAAGAAGGGGTCTGCAAACAAGGTCAGGAAACAGCCTGGGATTGGAGGTTGGGCTGTCTCTCGGTCTGGATTCTGTCTGGTTCTGGTTTATCATATGTTCCCACACTTCCAAAAAGCCAGGCCTTTGTTCAGTTAAGGATGGAGGTTTCAGACTCTGACTGTAGTTGCTGTGTCTCTCTTGATCACTGGGTGATGTTGTATTCCTCTCTTCTGGTGCAATTACCTGGGAGAGCAGGTGGGAAACCTTCTTACAAGTAAAGATGCAGGTATGTAGGTATACATAACAGAGTGAGTAGGTAGATTCCTCAGTAGATTTTCTCCTGGGTTGGTACTCTTGGGAGTTGAGAGCAGCTTCCATCATACCTGGCCTGTGGTTGCGAGCTGGCATATGCCCAGGAAGCTCACAGAAGGGACATCCTATAGTGGGATAGGAGAAGAGCATGCTCTCTGCGTTCCTAGGACACCTTGGACTGCTGTGCTGCTTAGGTGGGGGTTCTGCTGCACAGCCTGGTGTGTGTTGTGTGTGTGGAACAGAGGCTTTCTTCAGTGTCATCCTCTGGGGGCAGGTAACACTGCATCCTGAGTTCTGCTCCCTCCCTGGTTAGGAGTAGGCTGATGGTAGGATCAGACCAGTGTTCTGTTCTTGCCTTTTGATGTATTTGGGTGATGGGAAGTTTCTATGTCTGGTTTTTTATGTCATCTGAGGTGGCCCCAGATACCCAGATGCTTCTTACAGATAATTTTTTAAAAAGTTAAAGTTACGATGGGATTAGGTGATTAAACAAATGCTTATTTGAACCAATATTCTTGTCCTATAACAGAATTTTTGTACATTCTGCCTCCATTCTGTGATGAGACTATGTAGAATGGACTTTTCTGTTAGGTGGGGTAAACCATACCCTGCAGATGCTGAGAGCCAGGCACTTGTTCATGCATCTTGTTTATTAGTTTTGACTTGGGTTAGTGGCTCCTAGTGGTTACATGTGTCAATGACCATGTAGACTCAGGGGCATTTAACTTCTGAGTGATCTGCTGGGCTCTCTCAGCCCACTAGATGTCCAGCCCATGGGATGCGAGTGAGGGGGACAGTTCCAGGATAAGCCATGCCCGATCTTAGCTTTCATTGAGACGAGGTGAGTAGACTGCTGTCTACCTCTTGCCCTTGACCGGAATCGAACCCGGATCCCTTCAGTCCCCAAGCCGACGCTCTATCCATTGAGCCAAACCGGTCTCGGCCTACCTCTTGATTCTCTTTAAGAAAACTCCTGTTTTGTTATGGTCTCCTCAGATTTATAAGATGAGATAAATTTTAATGACTTTGGCTATCCACTTATCTCTCACAATGTGGGCAGACAAATGTGCCTGGTCTGTGAATATGGATGAAGGCTGAATGGGGTGCAGGTCTGGAGCCGCACCGAACCCCACAGCCACCTACATCGGCAGTTTTGGCAACAGGATCCTGAGAAATGGCAGTAGGCCAAAGAACATGGAGACGAGGCCAAGAATAACTAAAAAAATACCAAATGTTGAAGTTGGAGAATACACTGGCCCAGGCTGCTTGCTATGGTCCTTCTAATCTTCTGTCCATTTTTGCTGCTCCCCAGGCACACCTAGGGCCTCTGAAACCCCCACCCCTTAGGCATGCCATTGCCCCACAGAGAATTGTGTTAGCCCTCCCTCAGCAGTGTGCTCGGCCTGTCCATAGGTCAAGGTCTGGGGAGAGTGTGAGAAATATTTCTGTTAGGCAGTTAGAGACGCGCATGTACCAGACCGTCAGTGTGCAGCTTGGGTGGATGAGTGCAGTGGTGCTGTGAAAACGTGTGCTTATGAGTTCGTTTCTGTGCTTTCAGACCGTCATCAAAGAGGGGATGCTGACCAAACAGAACAATTCATTCCAACGATCGAAAAGGAGATACTTCAAGCTGCGAGGTCGAACACTGTACTATGCGAAGACTGCAAAGGTAAGGAGAAGTACTAGAAACTTCATGGAGGAAATATCTGGGGACCTGCAGGGTGCTGGGTCTTCATCTGGGAAGAAATCTTCTATGTTTAGTGCTGTTTTTTGAAAATACCCCAGGGTGCTAGATTTTATTTGTTTCCATGGAGATCTAGGTGCTTATAAACATTGATTTTTATTTATTTTATGTTGTGTGTCACCGGGGAAAGAGAATGTCACAGAAATAACCATACAGTATTACAGCTGAATGTCTTTTCTGCAGAAAGATTAAGAGTCACAAACATATATCTCTTACGGATTGGAGTGTATTTTTAAAACAATACTTTATTGAGGTATAATTGGCATACAAAAAGCCATAGATATTTTAATGTATACATTTGGAGGAGTTTGGAGCTAAGTATACACCTATGGAACTAACAAAGTATTTTTGAAATGTACCAGGCTTCTTGGTGTGTGAACAGCAGTTCCTTATCCCTGGGCTCTCTAGCCAGGGTGCTTCCTGCTGGGTGCCATCTTGCACGTAAGACTGCTGAGAAAGAGGAGGAGACACCGAGAGTCTCTTAAGTTACTGTCATGTTTTAACAAATGTGGTCTTACACTTTTCAGATATTTGTGTGTTTATAAAACTAGTTTTTTGGTATTTTGAACACTAGTATTTTTGTATCATGTCTCTGTCAGTACTAATATTTTGGTGTTAAGAAAAATCTGAATCATTTGCATTTTGACATGTATCCTTAAAGAGTTAGTACATTAAAATTTGAAACTGAACAGAGCACCTTGTTTATAAAGGGTTCTGACCATGTGTCCCTCATTTAAAAAAAACCTTTTTAGTTATTTTAGTTTTATGGGCATTAGGGATTGGTGAGTGGTTATTTAAAAGACAAAGCCTCTTTTCTGAGTTATTTCCTCCAGTGGTTTCCTATGGAGGCCTCATAGAGAGGCCAGTAAGGTTAACAGGAGATGGGGACTGTGATGGTAGGTTTGGGGGTAGAGGAGAGGAAAATGGGGCCTGTTCCCAGGCCTAGATTCCATCCCTTCTTCTGGAGCCTGTCTCTCTCCAGCACTAGATAACTTTTCACTTTGCTTTCTCATTTTCTTTCACAGCCCAATGTCTTTTCTTTGGGCCAATCTCTCTTCCACTAGAATAATTTATTTTAGTGGGACCTTTCTTCCAAATGTGCTTACTTGAGAAACTAGAGACAGAAGGACAGAGGATCCTCAGTCCAGACCCCTACTGTCTCAGGTAGATCCTGTCTGAGGACATATTTCCCATTTAAAATGAAATGCTGGTATTACAGAAATAAATACAGAATTACATTATTATCATTATTTTTCCTATTAATGCAATCACTAGTGAACTCCCTGTTTAAAAAAAAAAAAAATCATGGAGTCATGCCTGTGGTTAGATGTGGGGATGTTGTTAGTGCTTAGTTAGGCAACAAGCCTCCAATTTCAGGGTCCTTGGCATCTATGGATGCTTGACTGGGATTGAGGTGAGTGGTGGGCAGCATTGGGCCCGGGCTTAGGAACATGCTCACCTCAGAGGTGCCTTAGCTTCGTGCTGACTGTGGTCCCTGTGTCTCTCCAGTCAATCATATTTGATGAAGTAGACCTGACAGATGCCAGCGTGGCTGAATCCAGCACCAAAAATGTCAACAACAGTTTTACGGTAAGACTCTGGACATACATCTTTCCTGATTCTTCACCATGTCTGGTTTTCCTTTTTAATTTGAACAAATGTGTGAGCAATTCAGACTTTTTTTTTTATCCTTTTCACTCTGATGGGAACAATTCCTGATAAATATTGAATTTAAGTCTTAAAATAATACTGTGTTTGGTGAATAACTGAGAATTTGGCACTTGTAAGCACAAAAGAATAAGAGCTTGGTCCAAATGAAAATTTTTAACTTGCTGTAGTTCACATTTCTCTAACAGTTTTACATAGCAGTTTGTTTTTCATGATTATTGTAGAAAATTTGGAAAATACAGGCAAGTATGTTGAGGAAATGAAAAAAATAGCCATAATTAGGCCACCTCAAAACAGAATGTTGATATTTTGGTGTTTTTTTTTTTTTTTTTTTTTTAGTTTTAAACTGCCCCCCCCCCCTTCCCATTTATAAAAGTTTTGTGCTTTCTGCAAAAGTTCTAAGTGCATAAAATCATATGACCTCCCCCCTCAGATAAAGGTAGCAACTGTGCACTCTGGGGTGTTTATCTTTATTTCTATAATAGAGGCCCGATGCATGAAATTTGTGCAAGAATGGGCCTTTGCAGCCCCAGCTGCCCCGCCGCCCCACCCCCTGCCCACTGATTGTTCTGGGAGGTTGATCTGCCAACTGGTCTATTTCTGTGTCTTCACCCACATCCACCATGAAATCATGGTGATCCTTTTGTACTTACATTTTTTCTCTTTACAGTTTATGGTGATTGTTTCTCTGAATGTTCATCATATTTTTCAATGGCTGTATAGCATTTCTTGTATGACTTAACAATTTTGGCTACAGGAATTGACTTTAGAACCTATAAGTTAAGACTCCAATATTAGGAATGGAGTATTTAAAAATAGTTTTCTTAGTATTATTAAGCTATCTCATTTAGACATAAAGTATGCTTCCTATTTTCTTTTCAATTCTTTGATAATAGTCCAGGTGGATGATTTTCAAATCCTAAACATTTGATATTTTGGGTTAATGTTTCGGATTCTTCCAGGTTTTGTTTTTATCTTATTTAATTATTGATTTCATTGATTGTTGATGTTGCTGATACAAATGGGATTTTCCTCCATTTAAATTTCTGCTTTGTGATGATGGCTTATCGAATTAGCCTTTCCTGATGATTTCTCTTATCTTACGCTTTATTTTACTTGGAATATATATATATATATATATATTAATATTTTTATTGATTATGTACAGAGAGGAAGGGAGAGAGATAGTTAGAAACATCGATGATAGAGTCATCCATCAGCTGCCTCTTGCACACCCCCTACTGGGGATATGCCCGCAACCAAGGTACATGCCCTTGACCGGAATCGAACCCGGGACCCCTCAGTCCCCAAGCCAACGCTCTATCTATTGAGCCAAACCGGTCTTGGCTTACTTGGAATATTTTTAGCCTTTTCTCCATGAATTTTATGGGTTAGTTAGTGGCTTGGAGAGATACCTAAAACCATGTAAATGGGTTATTCTTTGATATGTGGCTTTAGATTTTTAATTTAATAAGAATAGGTGTTCTTATTGGAGTGTTCTGAGCATTAATTTAGGCGACCAATTTGGTTTTAGTATTTGTAATTTCCTAACAATAAATATTTCTTGGTATTGTTGAACCTTACAACCAAATTTTAGATTTAGAATTTTCTGTCCATGTGTGTGCTTTTCTTTGGTGTGGGAAGGTAGCCTCTGTTGTGTTTTGATTTTAGAGTTAAAATAACTGCATAAAATTCATTTAGTAACTTCTTTGATTTTATGTGTTTTGGAACACTTAAAAAATATTTATTGTTGAAAGTATTACAGATACCCCCCTTTCCTCCTCTCCCCCATTGCCCCCTTCCAACTGGTTTCTGTCCTGCCCCAGGCCTTCACCACCCTGTTGTCTGTGTCCATAGATAACGCATAATATGCATGTAAGTTCTTTGGTAATCTCTTCCCCCCTCACCCACTCTCTTCTTCCCTCAGAGATTTGTCAGTCTGTTCCTTGTTTCCATTCTTCTGGTTCTATTTTATTCATCAGATTCCTTATTTGTTTGTTTTGATTTTTAGATTCAAATGTTGATAGATATGTATTTATAGCCATTTTATTGTTCATATTTTTTATCTTTTGTTTTCTTCTTACTAATTGCTTTTCTCTTGAAGCTTTTAATATTCTCTCTTTGTCTTTAACCCTTGGCATTTTCATTATGATGTTTCTTGGTGTAGGGGCTTCTTTGGGTTCCTCTTACTTGGGACTTCCTGAGCTGCTTAGACTTGTAAGTTCAGGTAGGGAAAGTTTTCTGTCACTTTGTCTTCAGATAGGTTTTCAATATCTTGTTCCCTTTTCCTTCTGGCACTTCTATAATGCAAATGTTGGTGTGGTTGAAGTTGTCCCAGAAATATGTTCATATTTCATATATATATATATATATATATATATATATATATATATTTTTTTTTTTTTTTTTTTTCAGGAAACAGCCAATCAATGATTCTCTCTCATCTTTGATTAATATAATTTTAGAGAGGAAGAGATGGAGAGAGAAATAGAAACATCAAAGATGAAAGAGAATCATTGGCTGCCTCCTGAATGCCCCACATGGGAAATTGAGCCTGCAATCTGGGCATGTGCCTTAACTGGAATCTATCCGTGATCTCGTGGTTCATAGGGTGATGCTCAACCACTGAGCCACACTGGCCAAGCTATCTTCATATTTTTTTATTCTTTTTCTTTTTGCTCTTCTGATTAGGTGTTTTTTTCCTTCCTCATATTCCAAATCGTTGATTTAATTCTCAGAATCCTTTACTCTACTGTTGAATCAATGTAAATTATTCTTTATTTCAGTTAGTGTATGCTTAATTTCTGACTGGTCCTTTTTCATGTCTTTGATTATCTCACTAAGGTTCTTGTAATTCTTGTAATTCTCACTAAGATCCTTGAAATTCACACTAAGATCCTTCAAGCTCTTATTAAATTCCTTTGAGCAGTTTTATAACCATTGTTTTGAACCATTGTTTTACTAAAAGGTAAACTTTTAGTAGTTTACCTTCTTCCATTTCATTTAGTACCTTTTCTGGAGATTTCTTCTGTTCTTTCATTTGTGAAAGTTTCCTTGTCTCTGCATTTTGGTTGCTTCCCTGTGTTTGTTTTTTCTATGTATTAGATAGAGCTGCTCTCTCTCCTGGAATTGGTAGAGTGACCTTGTGTAGTAGATGTCCTAAGGGCCCAGTTTCCTATAGTGGCTCAGACTCCCCAGTCACTTGACCTGGCACTCTAGGTGCATCCCTATGTGTGTTGTGTGCACTGTCTTGTAGTTGAGCCTTGGTTGCTGTTGGCATCACTGGGAGGAATTGATCTTCAGGCCAATTGGCTGTGAGGACCAGCTGCAACTACAGTGGAAGAGCTGCTGTGCAGGAGCCATCAATATGGAGCAGGACTTGCTTCAGTGGGGCTTAAGGTGCTCAAAGGCTGCCTCTTGAGTGTGTTGCTTGTGGATGTGTAAAGTTGTAGTTTGGTATGATCTGAAGCCGTCCACTGGTGCACTGACTCTGGGGCCTCCTGGGAGGTGCAGTCAGTCACTGCCTAGGACCACTTACCAGGAGCTACAAAAAGATCTGTAGATGACTGCTACTTATATTGAGCTTGGAAGTGCACAGGCCAGGCCAAGCTGTCTTGGGCCTCTTAGTGATAGGTATATGGCATGCTGACTCCAGCTGCTGCTTGTTTGAGAGATTTAGGAAAGACTGAGGCCTAAGCAAGGACAGGCCATTCATATAGAAAAGCTGCTGCAAAAAGCTTGGGTAGGGGCTGCAAATTGGATGGGGCAGGGTCTCAACAAATCACGAGGGTGGAGCAAACAGTGTGTGCCATGAGTCAGGCTGATGAAAACTCAGATATGGCATCCTGTCAGCTCTGCAGTGGCGAAGGTCTGAGAATAGGAAAAATGACCCCTGCAAGCACCTCTGTCTGGGAGAAAGCTGCCCCTGAGTTCTTGCTCCAATGCCATACAATTCAGTTCTTCCCCATATGTCCCTGGATTTCCCCCCAAGCCTTTGTCCCAGTACTGGAGCTCAGAGGGAGTGTCTGAGTAAGTCCATATGCTGGCCCTTTAAGAGGAATGACCTGGAACTTTAGCTGCCTCCAAATTACTCAGTCACAATCCCTGCTGGTTTTTATGGCCTGAAATTCTCTTCCTAGCACTGGAACCCTGGGCTGAGGGGTCTGGCCTGGGGCTGGGACTTTGCTTCTCACAGGAGCTTTCTGAGCCTAGATATCCCTCCTGGTTAAAAAGCATGCCACAAGTGGGTGTCAAACCAGCCTGTTCAGCACCTCCTTGATGTGTTTTCTTTTTTATTTTTCTAGTTGTAGAACTAGCTTTGTTTTTCTTGTCTAGTTTTTTTAAACCCTGTCTTTTTTTATTCTTAATTTTTAAGAGAACCAGTTATTGGATTATTGATCAATCCTGTTTCCTCATTACCTAATTTAATTTCTGCAAATATTTATTGTTCTATGTTTTTCACAACTTCACCATATTGAAACCAACTTATTGATTGGCTTATTTTCATATACATCCCATCTAATAAAAGAGTAATAACACAAGTTGACTGTACCTCTGCTACACTCACAAGCCACACCCACCAACCAATCAGGAGCAAGTTTACAAATTAACCCAATTAATAAGGCTGCAGCCATGGAAACAACAGGATGCTTGGGTTTACACTAATACCCCCGCTCCCTCCCCCCCGATATGAAGGAAGCCAAGCTTTCCACCTGCCCTAGCTGGCCCAGGCCTCCACTCAAGGATACAAAGTTTCAATTATAGAAGATAAATAAATCCCAACAAAAATGGTGGCAGCCATGGAGCTGGAGAGATCAGGAGGCTTGAGTTTCCCCTGCCGATGGAGGAAGCTAAGCTTCCACAGCCCTGGCCTGCCTTGGCCTCTGTTTAAGGCTACAAAGTTTCAATTGTAGAAGATAAAT